TAAGGAGTTATTGATACTTCAAGTGCAAAAAATGATAACATAAAACCTTGATAAAAATGCACTTTTAAGTACCAATCATAACACTTGGTACAACAAATACTTGGCACTCTCGTAGCTCATACTGTATGGTATAACCAATACTTGAGCTATGAAAGGAACTTGATTTGTTGTTAATATAAGTTATAATCATGAATACTTGACGAGATTTACAAGTATTAGCATTAATCTAATAAGATAACTAATGTGATCATGTTAACAATTTATAATCTGATTGGAACCTCTTTTGTGTGTAGTTTTCAATTGAATAATAAGAGTTTATACTATACTTGCTGGACATACTATTAGTGAAACCTCTAACCTTGGCATTTGTTATTATCATTGTTTAATCCTTACATTAATATTTTATCTTAAAGTTCTCATCATCATCATCATCATCTTCTTCTCCTTCTTTTTCTTTATTGTTGTTGTTGTTGTTGTTGTTGTTAGTATTGTTATTGTTGTTGTATTATTGTCATCTATAATTTACACAATTAACCTCCTTGTGGTTCGACCCCGATCTTGCCAGGTTATTTATTACTTCGACACTCCTGTACTTAGGAGAAGATATCAATCTTTTAGTCGTGTCAATAGACATTGGACTGTTACTGTCTTAAAAATTAAATTATTATTGTTTGACCACTGTTTAATATTTTAAGTATAACCAGAACTATAGAGCTTCATTTTATGCATGGTTTGTTTCTTTGGAATACTATAACATGGGTCTACAACTTTTATAAGACAAGTATCTCAAATGTTGTTATCTTAAAGTCCAAATCTTAACAGAGAAGTTGAGAGACAACCTATCCAATTTTAATTTCTAAGTTCAACAAGTATAAATTCATTTCTCATGCATTTTGTTTTTTCATTATTTCATCCACCTATTATTATATAACAAACTTCTTAAACCTATACTAAGGCATTCAAAAATCTCAATTTGTTTTTTAAAATAAACAAATTCATGTGACTTAATAAGAGAGCTTGTTACCTTTTATTACAAAACAATGAGTCAAGAGATTGAGAGCAACCCCTTTTCCTCTTTTCTTTCCTTCCTTCTTTGAACACTTCCCTTCCTATTAGTAAATTTTTTTTTCTGAGTTTTCTTCCTAAATCTTACGTGAAGCACTCTTGATTCACTTACTCTTACTTTCATTTGGATTCAAAGGATGAATTTACAAGGTTTCCTCTCAATTTTTCTTTTCTCATCTTTCTTTCTCTCCTTGGCTGGCCATTACTCTAGGGATTTCTAGAGATTTCTTATTATTTATAATTATGTTCTTTTCTTATTTGCATCTTGCCCCTTATATTTACTTCTATTTTCACATTGACCCCACCATTCATTTTATCAATTCATTGATTCACCACTACTTCTCTTTCTCTTTACTAACTCCTTACTCCTTTATTATTATTATTTTCAATTTCACCCCTCTCATTAATAACTTCTCTTTTAATCCAATAAATTTATTCAATTTAATCATTCCTCTACATCCTTTGTATTTTATTTTATTTTACTAAATCAATATGAGATTATTATATTCGAGAGTTTACAATACTTATTTATCACTTTTGTTTACATAGAGTAAGTATAATATGCCCATTTTGGATAATAAGGTATTTTTGTTTAAGCTTTTAAATATCAAAGCTCAACTTTTATTACCGATGTGTGAATTTATATAGCTCTACTTTTTTTATTATGTATCCTATCATTTTATATAAACTCTCAACACTTTATAATTAATGTGTTATATAATTATTCGTATGTTATATTGGAATTTTGATAGAATTTGTAGGAGAGTTCATGATAATGTTTTTATTTAAAAAATATTCCTAGTAATTCTATATTAAAGCATGTGTTTTGTCCCATAAATTGAGACTATTATAATGCAAAATTAGTATTATTTTCCTATTTGATTTATGATTATTTTTTCTATTTTATTTAAAAAAAATTATTATTTTTTAACCTTGTTTTAGATGCTTTTAAATCTAAATTTTGACTTTCAAGGATTATATTCAAACTTGATTGTGAGTTTCTAGATCTTTACATTTAATATGTTCACATTAAATGTTATTGTTTTAGAATGATGATATTAAATCATATTTAATAATTATCAGTTTGAGCACTATAAAAATTTTCACATTAGTTCTTTGAAAAATATTTTTATAGAATTTTTGTTATAAAATAAGTTATTTTCATTGTTTTTATGAGTTAAGAAAAATAATTTTTTTAAAAATAAATTATGTTGCATTCACAATTATTGAGTGGTGGTAACAAAGAGGAGTTGTGATGTTAGACATCATAATAATGATATTGATAATGGTAATGATAATAATAATGGAGACGGTGACAATAGTATTTGTATTGATAATAATTATAAGATAGTAATTAATGTGATAATAATGATAGTATTTGTAATAAAATAACAATAGAGGAGTTAATAAAAAGAATAGTAATAATTATTATGGAATGTTCACATTAAATGTTATTGTTTTAGAATGATGATATTAAACCATATATAATAATTATCAGTTTGAGCACTATAAAAATTTTCACATTAGTTCTTTGAAAAATATTTTTATAGAATTTTTGTTATAAAATAAGTTATTTTCATTGTTTTTATGAGTTAAGAAAAATAATTTTTTTAAAAATAAATTATGTTGCATTCACAATTATTGAGTGGTGGTAACAAAGAGGAGTTGTGATGTTAGACATCATAATAATGATATTGATAATGGTAATGATAATAATAATGGAGACGGTGACAATAGTATTTGTATTGATAATAATTATAAGATAGTAATTAATGTGATAATAATAATAGTATTTGTAATAAAATATAAAAAGAATAGTAATAATTATTATGGAAATGATAATTGAACGATAATAATTGGAATGATTGGAAAGTGAAGCATGCAAATGGTTATATTACTAATAATAGGATAGTGAGGAAGGTGGTGAGGGGTTGGTAGTGGTTGCCATGATAGTTGAAAGAACTATCCAATAATTTCTATATAAAATTTATTTTTATATATATTTTTTTCTATGATTTTTTGTGATACCATTAACATTTCATTAAAAATAAAAATAAAAATTCAAAAAAAAGTGAGCATAAACAAATGGGGGTATTTTAATAATCTCTTTAACTTGAAAAAAAAAAAACACTACCAACATGATTGAGAAAAATCTTCCAACAGATTG